TTAATTATAATACCGCTAATAATAAACCCTCTGTTGTGTATTGAATAAAGACTACCAGCACTTGCAGTCTCTAGCAAACCATGATTGTGCACATGCGCAAGGGGCAAGATAATGGCGTCACCAATAAAGCACCCATATGAAAGTTACTCTGTGTGAAAGTCTTCTAATTATCCGTTGTTCCCTTGAACACACACCCAAGGATATAACACTATCCAGCTCTCGCTTGTGAATAGTACATTGCTGGTTCATTCTAGGCGAGCACATGAGCAATGATGCGACTTACACACGTATCGCAAGCGAATAACGGTCGTTGGAGTGAAACCACATAATTAATGCCCATGCAAGTAATCATCTTTGATATGATGGCATCCTGTCAAATGGCACTTACTTGTGGGAAAGGTTCGTTAAAGGACGTCAGGAGATGCTGGCGTAGCTGGTCCTTCTCATCTTCGTGGATGGCGTTAGGTGCCGACTTTCTCCAATATCTGATTGTGAACAAAATAAACGTTATCAATTTGCAAAAGTCATGCACTTTTAAAGAGACTGTGTAATGTGTATGCGTTCAGACTCTGGACCCAGTAAAGTGTATTGTGGATAAATGAGGAGCTCACTATCGCTGAGAGGTATACCGGAAGGTACCCTGGTACTATCTAATATGCCGGACCGTACCTCACCTACTCCACTAACGAGTCTAGGGAGTCGCCTATGCCTACTCCCTAACCCTAACCCTAACCCTAACCCTAACCCTTATCCTAACCCTAACCCTAACCCTAACCATATCAAATAGTTACCAGGGTACGTTCCGGCAGTACCCTGGGGGGACATAGACCCTATGAGCCTCACTATCCGACATGCACTTTGGTAGGAGCCAACAAAATTACGTCAGAGGCACTCGCGGCCCTGATACGCGCACACCGAAGTCAACGGTTTAGAATATAAATATAGTGTAGGCGGTACAACGACGAAGGGGGAGATGTGTAATCAACAGCGGGTGTTGCAGATAGCCAGCGTGTGTCGCACTTGCTGCTAGCGCGTACGATGTACGTGCGTTGTGGCGAGCGGCGGTGTCGATTGATGAGCGCCGCCCCACCTCCCGATTGTTTCATGTCTGTATCGCGAAGTGATGTCGCGTGCATGCAGAGCATGTTTATGACTGCTAGGGGTGACGGGCGCCTGGGAGGGGGTCAACTCTATGTTCCCCCGTCTCTATTTTCCCTTGTCCCTATATTCTTATTTTGCTTTACTACACATCCCAACAGAACATATGCTATATCTGCCAAATGCTCATAGGTCAACGTGCACATGTAGCCATTGGTAATTTGGTAGGCATAGACAACAAAATCGCTCTCTCTTCCCCTCGCGCGCTCTCTCTCTCTCTTCCTCTCGTGCTCTCTCTCTCTCTCTCTCTCTCTCTCTCTCGCTCACACTCACTCTCCATCGTTGTCTCACTTTTTCTTTCTCTTTTTCTCTCTCTCTCTTGCTCTCGCTCTCTTTTTCCTTTGCGCTCTCTCTCTCCCGCTCTCTCGCTCGCTCACACTCACTCTCCCTCATTGTCTCTCTCTTTCGTTCTCTCTCTCTCTCGCTCTCTCTCTCTCTCTCTCTCACCCTCTCTCTCTCTCTCACCCTCTCTCTCGCTCGCTCACACTCACTTTCCCTTGTTGTCGCTCTCTTTCTTTCTCTTTTTTTTTCTCTCTCTCTCTCTCTCTCTTGCCTTCGCGCTCTCTCTTTCTTGTTGTCTCTCTCTTTCTTTCTCTTTCTCTCTCTTTCTCTCTCTCTCTCTCGCTCACACTCACTCTCCCTCGTTGTCTATCTCTTTCTTTCTCTTTCTCTCTCTCTCTTCCCTTCACTCTCTCTCTCTCTCGCTCGCTCACACTCACTCTCCCTCGTTGTCTATCTCTTTCTTTCTCTTTCTCTCTCTCTCTTCCCTTCACTCTCTCTCTCTCTCGCTCGCTCACACTCACTCTCCCTCGTTGTCTATCTCTTTCTTTCTCTTTCTCTCTCTCTCTTCCCTTCACTCTCTCTCTCTCTCGCTCGCTCACACTCACTCTCCCTCGTTGTCTCGCTCTTCCTTTCTCTTTCTCTCTCTCTCCCCCTCTCTCTCTCTCTCCCTCTCTCTCACTCTCTCCCTCTCTCTCTCCCTCGTTGTCTCTCTCTTTTTTTTTCTCTCTCTCTCTCTCTCTCTTGCCTTCGCGCTCTCGCTTTCTTGTTGTCTCTCTTTCTTTCTCTTTCTCTCTCTCTCTCTCGCTCACACTCACTCTCCCTCGTTGTCTATCTCTTTCTTTCTCTTTCTCTCTCTTTCTCTCGCGTTATCTCTGTCTCTCTACCTCGCTGTCTCTCTCTTTATCTCACTTTCTCTCCATCGTTTCCTGGCTGTCTCGCGTACGCCACCAGCCGAATCACAGCCAAATCGCCCCCACCACCACGTTCGCGATCAGCCCATACCTATGAGAACACCTGGCAACGGCTACGTACGAACAGTTATAGCTCATAGCTCGTTCACGCTACAGCGCGCACATGCTATTAAATATAACCTGCAGCCTGTCGTCATACTTTGAAGTTACGCCAGTGTCCGTTAGCCTTTTGTGGCGCCACGTGTTAAACCAGTAGCCGTTCAACTAATTTAACTATATCTAGCCTCTTTAAAATTAAATAAATTATCACAAATTAAATTCATCAACGAATAACATATCATGCTCTGTACGATACGAAGCGATAATTATCACCGACATTCACTCAGTGATACAATTGCAGACGGACATAACACACAGTCACTGATGAGTCAAGCGATGTGACACAGTGCGTAAACACGCACACAAACACACCTGTCTACACCGTTCTTAATGTACATCACTGCGAGCCACCGAACGTTCACGTCGATCGAGTGATTGGAGAAAACGGAGAGCAGCGTAGAGTAGAAGCCGGGCTCGATCTCCCATGCCTTCAGTTGCTGCTCGGCAAGCTTGAGCTGTGCTGCGTCCTGGCTACAGGCTTGAGCCAGTACGTGCAGCACCTGCGATTGAGCCATCGAGACGTCCTGGTCGTCCATTCGTCGCCGTCATAAAACGTCGAATATATTTGAAGACCGTCGTCAGGCGGTTCGACACAGCTACGCGCCAATTGGGTGTGATTACGATTAAATCAGGAAATTAACTGACCATAATAACTTCGTATTCTAACATACATTTACATAATTTCTGAGGACACACGTTCATAGATTCTACTATATCGCCATCTATCAGGCTTTGTATGAGTTACTACCTTTTCAAAAGAAAACTTTTTAAAACAATTTTAAGCATTATGGGATCGACACTTGTACGATCTATTGAATGTATTTAACCTAAACACAAACAAAGTATATTAATATAGTTTACTATTGCATCGAAAACGAAATAAAAATTGTAGAAAGGGGAAGTTTATAACTCAGGTATTGTCCGAGTGGTGGCGGGGTTGCAGAACGGCTCGTGTGTTTTGATTTCTCATTCCGAAAGCATGAGTTGTTTGAAGCAGTCAAATTTACGAGGTTTTGCATGTGAGCAATCATGTTTGACTCGTTCGGATGGTTCAGCTACTTTTAACCAAGGTAAATTTAATAACAAAATGCATAGCGAAGTATTATTTCATATATGATCAGTAGTGTTGTCAATCGGTTGTAATTTCGTAATCGATCATCGGCTGGACCAGTGGCGTAGCTAGGATTTTTTCAGCGGG